TGTACACATCCCTTAGCTAAAGTGGCATCGCATTTACACAGAGCCTGCCCAGTGACCGAATGACCGAACTGGCCAAGGAAAGCCATGGGAGGGCCTTTCGTGCTGTGCTGCGTGGGTGTCACAGGAGAACCTCCGTGTTCGGTTGCAGCCGCAGCTCTTCTCCACGCATCTCTATACCCATATCTACGCGTGCAGGACACGTGGATGCAAGCGCAGCTTCTCCAACGAGAATCCCATTCTGCTATTGGAAAAGCTAGAAAAAATTGCTGTGCCCTGGTGCCTCACGCCTGTCTTCCTGGCTGCTCAGGAGGCCGAGAGGTAAAAGATTGCAGTTCAAAGCCAGCCCTGGCAGAAAAGTCTCCCTCTCTGGGGAAGTAGCCAAAAGCAGGGCTGGAAGCAGCACTCAGAATGAAAGCATGCCAGCCATGAGCAAGAAAGCCAAGGGAGCGCCGGAGGTGCTGAGCTCGAGGCCCAGTACTGGGACACTGTGTGTAGGTGTGCATGCACTTACGCGTGCGCGCGCGCGCGCGCACACACACACACACACACACAGAAGGAAAACCAGGTGTAAGTCCTCATCTTAGCTGTGGGGGGAGCTGCCTCACCCACCCCTTACCCTGGAGCGTGTGCTGCACTAGAGAAGTTCTGGGGCCAGCAGGGGCTGGGGCTGCAGCGTGGAGTCGGGGTAGAACTCACTGGGCCCACGGAGGACCGAGTCCCAATCCAGGCCTGTCCTGTTCTCCCGCTGTAAACCACTTCTTCTAAATCAACAAATTTTGCCAAACACATTTAACAAGTCTAGTGTTGGGGTCCAGGGTGTGCTGTTTGAGATGAGACTCCCAAGCTGATGAACTCAGCACGGTCCTGGGGATAAAACACAGCAACAAACCAAGCTGTTCCAGGAGGAGACCATGTCAGCACTGGCAGACGTGATGTTGGAGATGGTCAAGCCTCAGCCTCCCACTTGCTGGGATTGCCGGCCTGTACCCGCATGCCTGGCTGGCCAAACAAACCTTCTAATGCAACCTTCTTTACTGTTCTGGTGAAAGAGGAGTCTGGAGGAGATGGACAGCATCAGAGGCTCCACTACCCACGTGTAAGCAGCTCTCCAAGCTGTAAGGAAAACTCATTCTAGCCAAAGGAAGTCTGTACAAGGTGCGCCCATCCTGAAGCTATGTTTCTGTCCCCAGCACTTGATGGACTTCAAAGGGAATGGGAAGGTCTTGTTTTGTTTCTTTTCTCCGCTCTTGGTTGAATGATCTAATCTTATGCCCTTTCTTCAAATGTCGAAGTTGATACACGGGGGCATCCCAATTTTAAGCTTTATTCTTTGATCCCAAAGAGTCCCTCCCTCTTTTATCTGGGGTCTGTGGTCCTCCCCCTCCCCATCTCCTTTGACTGCTGGGTCCTCCTTGGGGGTGCAGTCACCTAAGACCAGATGCCTTTTCCAGCGGTAAAAAAAGTCAGAGCCCAAACATACACCACCAGCCGTGGGGCGTGGGGCAAGTTGCTGAACCGTGAATAGACTTAGGTCGTGTTTTTTTTCCCTTTTTATGTGGGTTATTTTTGAGATAAGGTCTCATTTTATGTCTGGGCCAGTCTGAGCAAGGTCACACTTTCTAATTGTGCTCCTCCACATAGCAGGAAAGGCTGGATTACAGGCCTACTCCACCCTGCCCAGCCATGGGTTGAAATGGAGTCTTGTGAATGTTTATGTCCCAACTGGCCTTGAACCATGATCCGCCTCTCTACCTCCCAACTGGCTAGGGTTACAGGCCTGAGCCAGACTAACTTGGTGTTTTCGTGTTTTGATCCACAAAACGATTCTGATCTCACAGGTGAACGCGTGTGCACTGCTGTAGTGTGCACTTCCGTGTCTGGAGAACCCATTCCGAGGCAGGAGGGAGGTCTTCCGAGCTCTGTGGAGTTAACCTTCGGGGGCCTGCCCCACCCGCGGGGACTCAACACTGGACCCTCTGAGAGCCCTTCGGTTCTCGGCCACCCTCCGCCGGCACCAAGAGCCTCAGGGACGCGGCCTCCCTCCACACGGTCCCCTTCCTGCCTGGGGAGCAAAGCTTACAGGCCTGCGGCCCTCGGGAAGAGATGGGGGCTGGCTCTCGGTTAGAGATGGGGGGCTGGTTCCGGGTCAGAGATGGGGGGCTGGCTCCTGGTTAGAGATGGGGGGCTGGCTCCTGGGTCAGAGATGGGGGGCTGGCTCCTGGGTCAGAGATGGGGGGCTGGCTCCGGGTTAGAGATGGGGGTCTGCCTCAGGGTTAGAGATGGGGGTCTGCCTCAGGGTTAGAGATGGGGGTCTGCCTCAGGGTTAGAGATGGGGGCTGGCTCCAGGTTAGAGATGGGGGGCTGGCTCCAGGTTAGAGATGGGGGGCTGGCTCCAGGTTAGAGATGGGGGGCTGGCTCCCGGTTAGAGATGGGGGGCTGGCTCCCGGTTAGAGATGGGGGGCTGGCTCCAGGTTAGAGATGGTGGGGCTGGCTCAGGGTCAGAGATGGGGGGCTGGCTCCTGGTTAGAGATGGGAGGCTGGCTCCCGGTTAGAGATGGGGGGCTGGCTCCCGGTCAGAGATGGGGGGCTGGCTCAGGGTTAGAGATGGGGGGAGGCTGGCTCCCAGACCCGCGCAGGGGCCTCACCAGAAGCTGATGAGATTCTCCACACAGCCGTCCCGGGGCCCTCCCCCCTCCCCGCCTCTCCCCTCCCCGCAACCCCCCCCCCCCCGCCCGTCGGGTGTCAATGGGTGCTGCCATCACCCACACGCCATCTGCCCGGCGCGACGCCCCGGTTGCCCGGCTACCTGCGGCACGCGGGGACCGCTGGGCCCGGCCGGGGCCCGGCCGGGGCTCGGCGCCCGCCCCGCACGGCCTGATTGAGCCATCTGCGCGGGGCGGGCGCGGGGACGGGGGCGGGGCGCGGGGGCCCACACGTCGGCCGGGGCGACACCGCCACCTGCCGGCCGCCGCCGGAACCGCAGCCGCCCCGCGGGCGGGAACCGAGCTCCGGGCTCCGCACCCGGCTCCCCGCCGGCCTTTAGAACTAAAAACCCCGCCCCGTCGGGCCTCAGCCTGGTTTGCGGCCATTGCACAACCCAGGGGAGTGGACACGCCGATCCTAGACTGGACAGGCCTCCCCGACGGCGGGGCATGCGGGGCGCACGCGGGGCCCGGCCGCGCCCCCCCTCCCCGCCCGGGGATGCAGGTGGCAGGCGTTGGGTAGGTCGGTGTGCTCCCTGGGAGAAAATCACTGGGGGAGAACCCCAGCGGACAGGCCTCGGAGAGCCCCGCTTCCCCCCCCCCCCCCGCAAAGGCCATGTGTCCCCCCCTCACAGCCCGCCCTCCCCCCAGCTGTGCCCGAGGCGCCCAGAGACCCCAGGCCGCTCAGACCCCGGCAGCTCTCCTTCCCTGTGTCTCATCCACCCCCCCAACCTCTCTTCCTGATCTAAACTGGACAACACAGAAAATAAACAAGAGCCTCCAAGCCTGTCTCCCGCAGAGGGGCCAACTCCAGTGCCGGCCTCACCGTGGACGAGGGAAGCCCGCCAGCCATTTGTCTCCCCAGGTGCTGAGAAAAGGCCTCTGGGTGGGAGGGAGGCTGGCATCTGGTGGCCTCTGGGGTAAGGTCTCTCCTTTGCCATTAAAAATGTCCTCACACTCTCCCAGGACCGCCTACATCCGTAAGCGAGTAAATAGAGTTGTCGCGTTCATTTCTTATTATTCAGGGCTCACAGTGGCCGCGTGCGCCGTGTACTAGTTCTCTGTGCTCTGATGAGTGGCTTGAAACTCTGACGAGTGAGAAGGAGCGTGTCCACAGAACGTTCACATGGTGCTTGGTAGAAGTGTCTAGAAGCTGGCTCATGGCCAGCTGTTTTTGGTTTTTTTGTTTTGTTTTGTTTTTTCCTTCCAGTCTCACTGCTGGGTTCCTGTGGGTCTCCTCGGGCACCTCTGTCCAGCGTGTCCCCTGGGCTCGGGCACCACCTCAGCGTGTCCCCTGGGCTCGGGCACCTCCTCAGCGTGTCCCCTGGGCTTGGGCACCCTCTGTCCAGCGTGTCCCCTGGACTCAGTGATGAAATCTTTACACTTCCCTATGACTCCCTAAGCACTGTCCTTGGAAACTGCCTTCATTTGTCTGTCCAACAAATCCGTAGCAAATCGAGAGTCTCAATCCACTCCCTCCACTTAAATGATCCCAGACACAACGCCTCAACTCCACTGTGAAGACGCTGGAAAACTGCAGACGTTTCCAGTCTCACCATCCAACTAACTGGGATAGAGACAGATACATAGATAGATACATAGATAGATACATAGATACATGCATAGGATGTTAATAATAAATAGATAAATAGATTGAGGATAAATGACATCATATATATGTATATATACACAAAGATAAATAGGATGACGATGATGATGATGATGATGATGGTGGTGGTGGTGGATAAGATGGAGATCTAGCTAGGATGATTGATTGATTGGCTCCGACCAGCAGCATTAAGAGAAAAAAGACCTATGCCAAGGTACCAATTGTTATGATTAATTAGAATAATATGAACTATGCGATGTGTTGGTTGATTAATCCCAGCACTTTTCTGTACACGTTTCTTGTATGTTTCTGCTTGCTAAGCGTGCTCTATTTTGGACAAATAGTAGCAACTAAGGAAGGTCAGGACATCACTTCTGCACGAACGTATGGGGAGCTGAGCTTGAGGCCTCAGCCTCTCCTCAGAGAAGCGAGGTCCAAGTGGCTGGCTCACTCAAGCCCATCCTACTCGTTCGCTAGGCTGCGCCAGGTGAACGCACACAGCTTGCTCCTGGGTTTCCCAGAGCCCTGGGTCCTGCTGCGGGGGTAAGGACATGGGGTGGTGTCATGGGAGTAGAAGGGGCTCCCCTGGGAACCCCTGGGGTCTGCAGGGCGGCTGGTTCCCTTCCCCTGGGGGCTTCCTTTTCTGTCTGTCTGGATGGAATCTGCATCTCCTCCTCTTGTCCCTGCAGGAGCAGCACCCCGTGGGTCTCCCCCGGCCCACGGGTCCCATGCAGCCCTCTGGGCCCCCGGGCTCCAGTGGCATGGTCTCCGGAGGGAGCCCGGTGGGGCCTGGCTTCTTGGGGAGCCAGCCACAGGCTGCCATCATGAAGCAGATGTTGATGGACCAGCGGGCTCAGCTGATGGAGCAACAGAAGCAACAGTTTCTGCGGGAGCAGCGGCAGCAGCAGCAGCAACAGCAGATTCTGGCCGAGCAGGTAACAAGCCCAGGGTAGGCAGCCGGGCAGCGGGCACCTGCTGTGGTCCAGGGGTTGCCGCCCATGCACCCCACACACACCACGTCAAGATGCTCACAGACCGGCATTTCATAGGATCATGAAGAACACACAGAATTCAGACCTTTTCGCCTTGTTAGGCCTTTTCCTGTAACGAATTAGTTTGTTCTTCTTCAAAGACAAGCTCCAACCACTCATTGAAGGGCCGTGGGTAGAGTGAATTCTTTGATTCCTGCCTGGCTCCTTGCTTCTGACTTCTCGTTCTGGGTCTGCGTCCTCGGCGCACGCTGGGCGCGGCTTCACACTCTTTATAAGCCAGAATGTTTATTTCTGACATAAAGCAAATAATAGAAATTCAGAGAACTTTGTTTCCTGGAGGAGACCGTCAGAAAGGGCTGTGGAGACGTCTGGGAGAATGAATGAGGAAAGATAACAGAACAATAAGGCCCAGAGAACTGCGAGGGAGCCTGACCTCTGGGGGTCACGGGGCGGGAACACATTGAAGAAAATTCCTAACAGCTTCTAAAGCCACTCAGGGGATCTGTGAGGCCTGAACCTTCAGCACATCGTCCAGCCCAGCCCTGCAATTCCCCCAGCTTAGAAAGAAAGCCCTTACCGCACTGCCTCCGCAGGTGTGGCTTTGTTTTGTTTTTAGAGATGCTAGCATCTGATTTAGTATTATCCCAAAGAGAAGGCTGAGGCTGTCCACAAGATCCCAGATGACCCCCGTGGGGTCTGCACAGGCCAGCTCGCAGGGAAAGCGCTATACAGCTGTGGAGGGTGTCAGGGGCGTGAGGCTGTCACACAAGGCTCAAAGCCCAGTGTAGCTCTGACTCCTAGTGGTTCCTTCTAGAATGTTCCAGATAGAATCTGCACTTTGGAGATTCACCAGGCATCCACCATCACCTATAGAAGTGTAGAGAAGGGCACGCTGGGGTCCCCTGTTATCAAGAAAGGTGGCTCAGAATAATGCCAGCCCTCCCTACCCAAAGAGAGAAATGGCCCGGTGGAGCATGGTTTACATCTGTTCCCTGCTTCTGCTTTTTTTCTTTTTTTCTTTCCTGAACAGCTGTGTAATTATCTCCCTTTCTCCCGAGGCCAGAGAGCGCCTGGCAGCCATTGTACAAACAGGCCTCTCTCTCACACCTGCAGCAGGTGTGCACGCCCAGGAGCCACCTCATCTCCCTTGGGCAGCCATAGTTGGGGCTTCAGAGGGAAGCCAGGCTTTGTAAATCCTCTCCGCGGCCCAACCCAGACGGGTCCGGCAGGCGTGCCAGTGCCTGACTGATGGTGAGTCAGAGCGCAGAGAGGTGTGGGATGACCCGACACAACTCATCAAGGGGTCCCCACCTGGCCAGCAAAGCCCTGGGGAGCCAGGACAGAGGTGGAAAACCCGGAGATTCAGAGAGATGCTTCTAAACGAGGCCCATGGAGCGAGGGGAGAATGAGGGATGGGCTGGAGATGCAGGACGTGTAGACGGGGTGTGGAAAAGACAGAGGAAAAGGGTGCAACGCCCTGAAACTGGTTCCACACACCTGCCTCCTCCCCAGGAGGGCCCAAGTGAGTCAGAATCTGCACCTCCCTTTGCTTGTGATGCGATTTAGGGGGAAATAAATTTCCTTAGCCTCCCTCTCTACCCAGCAAGTTAGATCTGAGGAGTTTCCCTCACGTGGCAGTTGAAAGGTCACGTGAGTTCACGTGTGCAGAATTCTTGGGAACCCGTCTGCTCTGCAGGCTCTGGGTACCAGTGCTAGAACCTGGGGCTCAGGAAGGCCCTGCAAGAGCCCCAGGCCCAAGCCAGGTGCCCGTGGCTCACACCTGTCATCCTAGCTGAGATCTGAGGATCGCAGTTCAAAGGCAGCCCAGACAGGAAAGTCTGTGAGACTCTTATCTCCAATCAACCACCAGAAAAACCGGAAGTGGCGCTGTGGCTCAAGTGGTAGAGCGTTCACCTTGAGCTGAAGAGCTGAGGGACAGCACCCAGGCCCAGAGTTCAAGCCCAAAGACAGACAAAAAAAAAAAAAAAGAGCCCCAGCTGGTGTCAGCACATCAGTGCAGCATTTCACCCGTGCCTGCACACAATGCTTCGTTACTCATTTCTGTTTATTTGTTTTGCACTAGGGCTGGGTTTGAACTCAAGGCATAAATGCTGCCCTTTAGCTTCTCCACTCAAGGCTAGTGGTGTATCTCCTGCGCCATAGCTCCATTCCAGCTTGTTAGTGGTCCATTGGAGAGAAGAGCCTTATGGACTTTTCCCACACTGACTGGCTTCAAACCACAATCCTCAGATCTCAGCCTCCTGAGAAGCTAGGATTACAGGCATGAGCCACTGGCTCCCTGCTTAATTAAAGAGTGTTTACTAACATGGGCCATCTCCATAGTCTCAAGTTGAAAGCTCTCAACTTTGATTTTTTTTTTTTTGTCAGTACTAAGACTCAAACCCAGCATGTCTCACATGCTAGGCAAGTACTGCACCAGGGCCTGAGCTACGTCCAAGTACTGATATCACATCAACATCGTGCTGATTTGCTGTTATCAAAATGGTCCCAGGGCTTTCAGTTTTAGAAACAGTGTATTGGAAACACTTGTATGACCTCAGAGCACTTGGGAGGAAAAGCGGAAGGATGTGGGATCCTGCAGATCTTTGGGAACATTAACCAGATTCCCAGTTGATCTGGTGGTCAGAGGGGCGTGGGTAGACAAGGCGTGAGTTAACATTGAAGCCTGGCACATGTCACCTCTCATTCTCTCCCAGACATTCTTTAGAAAGAAGAACTTCAGATCCCTTAGGAGATATTCAAAGCTGAACACCGGTAGCTTATGCCTGAAATCCTCCCTACTCAGGAGGCTGAGAGCTGAGGATCATGGTTCAAAGCCAGCCTGGGCAGGAAAGTCTGTAAGACTCATAGCTCCAGTTAACCACCAAAAAGCCAGAAGTAGAGCTTTGGGTCAGTGGTAGAATGCTAGCCTTGAGCAAAACATCTCAGGGGCAGTACCCAGGCCCTGAGTTCAAGTCTAGGCACACACACACACACACACACACACACACACACACACAGCATATCAAGAGACATTCAATATCGTGAAATCCTATTAGTTTACAAATGAGGAAACTGAGTCCAGTACTGCTATGATTATGTGAGAAGGAAGGAAGTAGAGACTCCTGGCCATACCCCAGCTCTATCCGGGCTGCCATGGGCCTGTTCCTCCTACATGTTCTATCGTCCATTCTTGTATTCTAGAGGAAGTTTGGCTGAGAAGCATGCAGACACTCAGCTTCCTTTCCGTGATGCCTTCACATCGCTGCCTAAACTTCAGTGGTCAACCCATTCCTTCACTTCAACAGTGTCCTACAGAACCAGTTAGTAGAAACATAGGCCGGGCTCAACAGGGTACAAGTTGTTTATTTGTTTGTTTGTTTTCCTGTTGCTGCCATAATTCTGGCTGGCCTTAGAAAGAATAAGAAGAAAAAAGAAAATTCTAAAGTTGCCAAGGAAGAGATGAAAGAGAAAGAGAGAGAGGAAGACAGAGAGAGAGAAAAAAGAAGAAGAAGTAAACACGTGAAGAAGCAGTCAATGTATGTTACTTTCATAACGAGCAGTCCAAAGATCAGGGACCTTGTTGCATGTTCTCTGGGCCTCTGGCAGATAAAAGGTGCTTAATGAATATTCAGCAGTTTCAAGGAGGTTTAGCTGCATCCAGAGGTCACACGGCTACTTGATAGCACACCTAGAGCTGAACCCTCTCCACCCTTTCCCCTGGCTTTCAGTTCTTTACCTCCGCATCTGCATTACCGTGATGACCATAATCACTCGCCCAGGGCCAGCAGCACGCTCGCCGCCGCTCACAATCTGAATGAAAGAAGACAAGTGAAAACACAGGCTCCCACCTGACCGCCTCAAAGCCGTAAATGCTGAATATTTTACTTGTGGAGATGTGGTTTACAGGCCACGTGGGGTTTCATGGCGATATGATTGGCCTTGTCCATATCTCCTGAGAAGCCCATCTTTGTATGCCCAAAGCATCTGTTTAGGTCACTAGGAAGTAGCTGTTTAGCCAGGCGCCTGCGGCTCACACCTGTTATCCTACCAACTCAGGAGGCTGTGATCTGAAGATCAGGATTTGAAGCCAGTGCAGGTAGGGAAGTCTGTGAGATTCTTATCTCCAGTTAACCAGCAAAAAGCTGGAAGTGGAGGTATGGGTTAAATGGCAGCATACCAGTCTTGAGTGAAAGTGCTAGCAGCTAGGCCCAAGTTCAAGACCCAGTAAATCAATAAATAAGTAAAAAGAGAGTTCCTTGTCCCTTTGAGCCAGTTCCCCCAGGGCCCACAGGCTGACAAAATGCCACCCTCCGTGGGCATTGTGTTTGAACCGGCAAGTCCCGCATCAGAATGCGGGCAGTGTCACCAACAGGCGTGGGCAGGCATGCGCAGGCATGCGCATAGCAGTTGTTTGTAACGTAAACAATCAGAAGCAAGCCAGGGCTGTGGCTCACACCTGTCATCCCAGCTAGTCAGGAGGCTGAAATCTGAGGATTGCAGCTCAAAGCCAGCCTGGGCAGGAAAGGCCGTGAGAATCTCCACCAGAAAATCAGAAGTGGCGCTGTAGCTCAAAGTGGTAGAGCAAAAAAGCTCAGACAGTGCCCAGTCCCAGAGTCCAAGTCCCACTTCCGACCGAAGAAAAAAGAGGTCCCCCTAAATGGATGGCACAGGTGGCATGTTCGTCCAGCGGGACGTTGGTGAACAGGGTCCATGCCTCCGTGGGTCGAGATCACACACAGCCATCGGGGTGGGAAGCTGGGCGGGTGGCTGTGCCCAGCTCCCTGCCAGAGGCACAGGAGCGGACTGAACTGGTCTGTGAGGTTCAGAGTTCAAGTGAGGTGCCTCAGCCAAGGATGGCCTCAGCCACGGGCCATGGAGGACAGGGCTCGGGGCTCCTGGACTCGGGGGGCTGGGCAGGGGCAGGCTCTGCTCTGTGAGCGCCCATCTACCTCTACACTTAAACCCTCTGCGCTCGCCTGCGTGGGTGCAGACCATCCACGCAAAGCTTCGCGTGGGAAGCAAGCCCGTGCCCCTGCGGACCACGGGTGTTGCATTGAGTGGCTCTCCCTGCTCAGCCCTGTCCTTCCCCCGCTGCCCCCTGACCCCCGCCCTCTGTCTAGCCCTGTCTGTCCCCCCGCTGCCCCCTGACCTCCGCCCTCTGTCTCAGCCCTGTCTGTCCCCCCACTGCCCCTGACCCCCGCCCTCTGTCTAGCCCTGTCCGTCCCCTGCTGCCCCCTGACCCCCGCCCTCTGTCTAGCCCTGTCTGTCCCCCCGCTGCCCCCTGACCCCCGCCCTCTGTCTAGCCCTGTCTGTCCCCCCGCTGCCTCCTGACCTCCACCCTCTGTCTAGCCCTGTCCGTCCCCCGCTGCCCCCTGACCTCCACCCTCTGTCTAGCCCTGTCTGTCCCCCCCGCTGCCCCCTGACCCCCGCCCTCTGTCTAGCCCTGTCTGTCCCCCCCGCTGCCCCCTGACCTCCGCCCTCTGTCTAGCCCTGTCCGTCCCCCGCTGCCCCCTGACCTCCGCCCTCTGTCTAGCCCTGTCCGTCCCCTGCTGCCCCCTGACCTCCGCCCTCTGTCTAGCCCTGTCCGTCCCCCGCTGCCCCCTGACCTCCGCCCTCTGTCTAGCCCTGTCCGTCCCCCGCTGCCCCCTGACCTCCGCCCTCTGTCTAGCCCTGTCCGTCCCCCGCTGCCCCCTGACCTCCGCCCTCTGTCTAGCCCTGTCCGTCCCCCGCTGCCCCCTGACCCCCGCCCTCTGTCTAGCCCTGTCCGTCCCCTGCTGCCCCCTGACCTCCGCCTCTGTCATTGCAGCAGCTGCAGCAGGCGCATCTGCCCCGGCCGCACGTCCAGCAGCAGCGGAGCCCCTACCCCGGGCAGCAGGTCAGCCAGTTTCAAGGTGAGAGCTGCCCGCCTCCCCGAGAGCAGAGTGTGAGTCCGTGCTGGGCTCAGCCCATCAGGATCACCGGCCGAGGACCAGCCCCGGTGCCTCTCTGACCTTTGACCCAAGGACTTGCATTTCTACCACACTTTCAGGAGCTGTGGATCCTGCTGGCTAAAATGACTGCTGGATAGTATGAGCCAATTAAAACGATAAAATCCACTAACGTCACCAGTGTCCCCTCAGTTGTGTAGGTTCACAGTCATTTATTGTATCTTACAATTAAAAAAAAAACCCATAGCCAGGCACCAGTGGCTCACACCTGTAATTCTAGCTACTCAGGAGGCTGAGATCTGAGGATCGCAGTTCAAAGCCAGCCTGGGCAGGAAAGTCCGTAAGACTCTTCTCTCCAATAAACCACTAGAAAACTGGAAGTGGCGCTGTGGCTCAAGTGGTAGAGTGCTTACCCTGAGCTGAAGAGCTGAGGGACAGCGCCCAGGCCCAGAGTTCAAGCCCCATGACGGACCAAAAAAAAGCAAAAGAAAAAATAAACCCACTAAGTTTTCGATATTCCTTTGTATTACAAGACACAGACATTGTACGTATACAAATGGTTCTAGATTCTTTAGATCCGGTTTTAAAAGTTTTACTTCTGGAACTTCTCTGACGTGCAAAACCACTGGTAAGAAATCAGTCTAGAACTTGAGCAAAGAGCCAGGGTCCCTGAGCAGATGGGTGTGGAACATGGTTTTCTTAAATGTGCTCACGTGGTATTTCCACTTGCTTTACGGACAGCCTGGATGGCATGAGGGCACGCATCTTGGCAGACGGCAAACTGACGGGTAATGCTGTCCTCAGAGAGCACTGTGAGCACACCCTCCGCCCCGCGCCCGCCTCCCATAGCAGGTCTCCCTGACCCCGCTTCGCTGCACGCTGAGCGCCGCACCGCTCCGCACCGGCAGTCACATGCCCGTGAGGAAGCTCCTGGTCCATGAATAGAGGCTTCTCAGGCGTAGAAACAGGGCAGAGGCTCTTGGGGGGGGGGGGGGGGGAGAATTGCACGGTATCATCTTTATTTGAATATGGAAGGTTTTCTTTGACGTTATGGTGTTAACCAGCAGACAAGAAAATTAATGTGACTACAGCGTCTCATGATAAGAGCTGTTTTAGACAGAAAAGAGAAGTCTGTTTAACATATGCTGTAATCGGGTGGAGACAATTTGATTCCCTGATTGCATTTGGATTTTGTTTCCTTTGTACATTTAAAATCATTGAAGGCATAAAGCTAAGCTAATGAAAGGCTTTTTATTTCACTTAGGTTGAAAATGTTGTGCTGAGGGTTGATTTTTCAAATGTTTTTTAAATAATCGTTCCATCTAACCGGAAGCAGTGGCTTAAGCCTACAATCCCATCCACTCAGGAGGATCCTGACTCAAGGCCAGCCAAGGAAAAAGTTCACGAGACCTCATTTTGACCAGTAAGGCTGGATGTGACAACACAAGCCTGTCATCCTAGCTACTCAGGAGGCTGAGATCTGAGGATCATGGTTCAAATCCAGCTGGCAGGACAGTCCGTGAGACTCTTATTTCCAGTAAAGAAAACCAGAAGTGGCACTGTGGCTTAAATGGTAGAGCACTAGCCTTGAGCTGAAGAGCTGAGGGACAGCGCCCAGGCCCAGAGTTCAAGCCCCACAACCGACAAAAAAAGAAAAAGAAAGAAAGAAAGAAAAGAAATGAGAAGGAAAGAAGGAAGGAAGGAGAAGCAGGAAGGGAAGGAGGAAGGAGAGAGGGAAAAGAATTACACCTCGGTAGTGCAGACATTTATAGTACATAAACATAATGGCGGGCTCTGTTAAAGGGCACTGCAGCATTCCTCTAGAGAAAGGAACCTATTTCTCAACTGCAAAATTAATCCAGACAATGTCCATTCCTTCAACATAGCCAAATGAGTATGCAACAAAAAATGTCCAAACCACCAACATCCTTCCATCGCTTTCCGGCCGTCCATCCGCCTGTGTATATAATTTGGGTCTTTCTGTCCAATCCAAGTCAGCAGTAGTTTCCCTTAAGTTTTTCCATAAGCAACAATAGCTTATTTCACTCCAGCTGATGCAGCCAGCGACACCATCAATAGCTAAGGTCACAAAACTTCCTAACAAGATTGCAAGTTTCAGGATATACAACCATCCAAAACTTTTGCTTTTTCAAAATAAAAATCACTTGTCTAAAATCAAGCTTGAAGCAAGAAAGTAAACTATTTCTGAGGATTTAGTTGAAATCTTCCAGGTTTCCCTGCCATAACCATGTGATTTTTCAATACAGCATGATATTGATCCTAACCCACAAAAACTTAAGTCATAATCAAAATTCCCATAATTTTCTTTCTCAAAGAAAGGAAGAAAATATGGAGATATATTTGCTGCCCAGAAATCAATAACCCCATCAGAAAGACACACACATACACACACACACACACACACACAAGTTCAGTTATCTAACAATATGCCAGCTTTAACAAGGTTATACTGTTCTCTTCTGGTGGCACAAGTGCACCCAAATTTGCTTATCATATTGATTTGCTCCCATACTGCATCTTCTTTAAATGTCCAGGGGAGAAAACTATTCTTCTTTTTCTCGTAGACTTACTCGTTAACCGGGATATAAAGCATCTATTTTGTGCCCCTCTCTTCCTTTACAACACAGACTGGGTGTGCTGTGGGCGACACTTTGTTCTGGTTCCCATGCACTGTATCCCAGGAACCTGTGAACAAGGACTCACTAAGCTCCTTCATGGAAGTTGAAGGACTTCATTTGGATCCTCTGCCCAACAGAGGATGCTGCAGCAGCAGCATTCAGTGTCTTAGCCACGCACAGAAGTAGGTAGTAGCATTGCTGACTTGAGAGGGTGGACTTGGCTACGGAAAGGCAGGAAGTTCATTGCCAAACAGCCTGAGGCGGGACAATTTCCTGTCCTAGCTGCAGAACCCACTGTGCCTCCCTGGTGTTAGAATTAGGGGGGGTCTGGAGCCCATGAGCTCCACAAGGTGGATCGGAAAGTGTCCCATTTGTCCAAACAGCTTCTCAGCAAGACAGTGGCCTTTAACCCCTCAAATCCTGCTCAAGTCTTGAGGGGAGTTGTTTTCATTGGTAGTGTTCTCCACTTGGAGATACTCCAACTGGGAGATGCAGAGTGAGGTGATGTTTCTTCTCCATTCAGCCCAAAAGGTGAATGCTCCCTCCTCTCTAGAAGACTAGGAATCCGGTTGAGCGGATGGTATCATATCCAAAAGAGAAATCATTTGCTTCTGAAGTGTGGGCACAAACGTCAGGGTTTTGTGAGGTAGAAAAGTACACTACACAGCCTGACACTGGTAGCTCACACTTGTAATCCTAACTATTCGGGAGGCGAGGCTCTGAGGATCACCGTGTGAAGCCAGTCTAGGCAAGGAAGTCCAGGAGACCCCTGTCTCTGATTAACCACCAAAAAATGCAGAAGTGGAGCTCTGACAAAAGCAGTAGAGCACCAGTGTTGAGCATACCTGCTAAGGGACTGAGCCTCGGCCCTGAGTTTACGCCCTGTTACAGGAGCACGCCAAAATGTAAGCTACAAAAAGCTCCTGCAGTATTATGTTCCTGAGTTTGTGTGTCCAAAAGATTGTCCGTGTTTCAGAACTAGATGGTGAGAATCTGGGTGACTTTCACGTTTGCCTTTGAGTTTAATGCTTTCCAAATTGTATATACTCACCTCATAGATATGCATGCATGTATACACGTGTATATGCATTACACACACGCATATGTATTATCACAGGATGGATAGATAGATGGATAGATGATAGATGATAGATAGATAGATAGATAGATAGATGCAGATTGATTGATTTACTTCGGGAATTTCGCCATTCCAGGGATGCTGGGCACCGCGTGGCAGCGTGCTGCTGACGGAGACTCGTGAGTGACGTGTGCTTTCTCCCCTCAGGCTCCCCCCAGGACATGGCCGCGGCGAGAAGCCAGGCGGCCCTGCAGAGCCTGCGGACATCCCGGATGATGGCACAGAACGCGGGCATGATGGGCATGGGGCCCTCCCAGAACCCAGGGACGATGGCCAGCGCCGCAGCCCAGTCGGAGCTGGGACTGGCCCCTTACAGCGCCCCTCCGACCAGCCAGCCAGGGATGTACACCATGAGCACAGGGATGACCCAAATGTTGCAGCACCCAAACCAAAGTGGCATGAGCATCCCCCACAGCCAGGCCCAGGGACCACGGCAGCCTGCCTCGGGCCAAGGGGTAGGGATGGTGAGCAGCTTTGGGCAGAGCATGCTGGTCAGTGCCCAGCACCCGCCGATGAAAGGCTCGGGGGGCCAGGCCTTGCCCAGGACCCAGGGCCCCTCCAGGCTGCAGTCCGTCATGGGGGCCGTCCAACAAGGAGCACAAACCTGGCAGCAGAGGAGCCTGCAGGCGCCGCCCGGGAGGACTAGTGGAGAACTGGCGCCCTTCAACAATGGAACCAGCTACCCACTTCAGGCCGCCCAGCCCAGACTCGCCAAGCAACACTTCCCGCAGGGCCTGAGCCAGTCAGTCATGGACGCTAACCCTGCCGCGGTGAGGACCCTCAACCCGGCCGCCATGGGTCGGCAGATGATGCCGCCGCTCCCTGGGCAGCAGGGCGCCAGCCAGGCACGGCCAATGGTCATGTCTGGCCTGAGCCAAGCTGTCCCTGGCATGCCGGCGTTCAACCAGCCCTCGGCACAGCAGCAGATACCCGGTGGCAGCTACGCCGCAGGCAGCCAGAGCCAAGCCTATGAGCGCCCCCCTCAGGACATGTCGTACAATTACAGCGGCGAAGGGGCTGGGCCTTCCTTTGCTGGCCTCCCGGACAGTGCTGACCTCGTGGACTCCATCATCAAAGGCGGGCCGGGGGATGAGTGGATGCAAGAACTCGATGAGTTGTTTGGGAACCCCTAGTCCCGTGGGGTCCGGAGAGCCACACGTGGAGTGGTGAAAGTTTCACAGTTAAAAGAAACAGGATGCCAGTCCATCCTGGGTTGGCTTTTTTTTTTCAATTGTTGTTTTTTGACCCATGTACACGAAGCAGAACTGCAGCTGGCTGGTGGTAGAAAATCCAGATGTGAGTCCCTGGCTCCACAGGGCCTCCCTCCTTCCAACTGATTTTCACACCGCAATCACGTCTAGACGGCATGCAGATCCCGGCTGCAGAGAGGGAACAGAGAGAGCGAGCAAGCGAGCGGGAAAGACCAGCAGCCTGGTCCTCGGCCCTGCACAGCTGTCACGGCCTGGCTCAGCCAGGGCTGCCCCCGCCCAGAGGGCTGCGGCCGGGGGTGAAGTCCCCGCTGCCCACCAGCTCCGGGTCCTGAGACCACAGCTTTGGAGAAGAGAGCAAGCCGGGGCCAAAGGATGCCGCGGGAGACTGCGAGAAGACTGCACGGGCCACAGGCACAGGTCAGGCACGGAGCGCAGCCAGCAGGCCCGGGGCATCGCTGTGGAGCTTGCATCGTGTGCTGCGGCGACCCTCTGGAATTACACGGAGTGGCTGCTGCTCCGTTCTGCCCTCCTGGGGAGCAGCCATCGCCTCACCCCGGTTTGGGTTGGAACCTCCTTGGGTTTCCATGCAACATGGTACAGCCCGGCGGAGGGACCCTGCCCGGTTCTGTGTGTGCCATCTGGCAGCCTTCCACTCGCCCCCGCCCTGCCTCTGTTCCTCCTGACCTCCAGCCCAGCCCACCTTTGCCTCTCCTGACGGACTAGCCGTGAAATGAGGCTTCGGGGCCAGAGTCAAAATAAAGGCAAGAAGGATGCAGGCCATGCCCGAAACACAGAGGCAACACTGGCATTTCCTTTCCTCACCACGTGTAGCGTGGAACGAGCGTGGGCTTGGAACGGAGTGGGCTGAGCTGATTGCAGGTGCAGGTGTGTGTGGCCACATCCAAGGCTTCCAGCATCTATCCCTGGGGAGCAATGGCCTAGAAACCACTGGCTCTGGTTCCCTGGGACAGGATCCCAGAGGGGACTCTAAAACCGGCCTTGTTTGTCATCCCTACCAGAAAGTCAGGTACCAAACCCTTGAGAGAGAGAGGCAGAAAATGCAATAGCTCTACCTTACGAAGGTGGGTGATCAGTGAAATGGATACGCCTCTTTCTTTACAGGCCGAGTGATCAGGTCGGTCATTCTCTGTAAGTCAGCCCGTCTACCCTATGGAAAACCCACCCGAAGAGATCGCGGGCCTGTGCTGTCAGACTTGTCTCTTGGTCTCTGCCCCCCAAGTGACACAAGTATTGTCTATGCTGGGTACCTCCCCTCCCCCCATGCTTAGAGCTGGGCTCCTGTGCGCTGCACACACCCATCCTAGAAGGCCAGAGGCTGGGGAGGGCTGGACAGCAGGACAGGGAAGGTGAGCTCCACCCAGAAGCCAGGGTAGAGGCTGTGAAGGGGGGCCGGGCAGGCAGCATGACCCCCCACTTCCTCTCCATAGGCCAAGGGTCCCAGACCTGCTCAGCACAGGGCCAGAAAGTGGCTGTACAGCCTCTCCAAAGAGGCTGGCGGGGGAGGCATGAACTCTCAAGAGGAGGGCGCTACCAAGGAAACTGAGTAAAAGCAGATGAAAACCAAAAAATAACGATAATAAGTAATAATACAGTAGACAAATGAGAAGACACAGAATACATAATTAATTGCCTTTTCCTGCTAGGCAGGTCCAGGAAATAAATGCATAAGCAATGATGAGAAACTAGAGGTAGCTGCTGGACAGAAGGGAGGCTCCACTGTCTCTCAAACACAGCTTCCTCCAAGTGCTCAGTAAGAGGACCAACTAATAGAGAGGTAGATTTTAATAAAGTTGTTCTGTTTCTACTACGGTGCTGATGTATATGTAATGTCTTTAAAAAAGTTATTTGTACATAAGTTTTTACAATACTGCAGATATCACTGGGTCTACTATCTGTAAATATATATACATATAAATATAAATATAAATATATATATACTGTTTGTTTAAAATAGAGTATTTTTATTTCATTCCTTAATTCATCATCATGGCAGTGGGACAGCACTTCAGACATCTAATTTGTACTGTAGAATGTACGGCAACCCAATCCGTTTGATTCCCATTTTTCTAGTTTTCTGTTTTTACTTTGTACACTGAGCATTGCTATCTCCTTTTAAGAAATGTGCAGAACTCTGAAATGTAGAAATGATGTCTACATACCACTTTTAAAGAAAAAAAAAAACACAGAATAAATGATCATTATCTAAATCAATCCAAAGACTCATTCATTTCAGGGTCCCCGATGATCGCCAGCATTACTTAGACGTACTCTTCCCGGGTCTCAACTGATTCATGCCATTCCTTTATCAAAAGTTGGATGGTATTATTTCATTTTAACGTTTATTTGACAGTCACAAACAGTTGTGTTTTGTTCGTTTCTGGCTGTACTTGGGTTTGAACCAGGGCCTCACACTTGCTAGGCCAGCTCTTTAAGCCTTTGAGCCATGCCTCTGGCCCTCCTTGTCTTGGTTATTGTTTTGAAATAGGGTCTCACTTTATGCCCAGGCCAGCCTGGACTGCAGTCCTCCTATTGGTGCTTCTGCACACTGCTAGGATGATAAGCACACACTACCACTCCCAGCCATTGGTTGAAATGGAGACTTACAAAGATCCCTTGATCTGGGCTGGGAAGGTGGCTCAGGGGTAGAGTGCTTGCATTGCATGCTTGAGGCCCTGGGTTCGACTCCTCAGCACCACCTAAGCAGGGGAAAAAAAGCCAGAAGTGGCGCTCTGGCTCAAGTGGTAGAGCGCTAGCCTTGAGCTGAAGAGCTGAGGGACAGCGCCCAGGCCCAGAGTTCAGGCACCACTTCCGGTTTTCTGATTGTGCATTGGAGATAGCCAGCCTAGGCTGGCTTTGAACCGTGATCCTCAGATCTCAGCCTCCCGAGTAGCTAGGATTACAGGTGTGAGCCATAGGCTCCTGGCTTCCCAGGCCTTTCTAATTCAACTACACAACCGGAACTTTCTACAGAATAGAGTACGCTAAGGAATGGGGCAGGGAGCCGGGCGGAGGGGGCAGTCTGCTTCTCAAGGGTCCTCTGGAGGTCCAAGTATTGATCTAGCCCTCCAGCCATTCAATTTCCAACTGGCTCCTTCAGAAGACTCAGAAAACGGGTTGTCAGAATTTAATACTAGAAAATGGAAACACAAATCAGGGAATATTAGGAAGAGAGTAACATACACTCTCAGTAAGAGTGCATCTCATGTCTCCCAGCCCACACTGCCTCTGCCGATGCAGACCCCGCCCGGCATTGCCTGCGACCACTGCTCGAGCTGAAATCCATGGCCTTCTAGCCAGTCACTCCATGTTGCACAAGTGAAAGGCTGCGGCTTGTTAGGACAAACTGATACAAGATGATGCTCTGAGCTCCCCACAGCATTGGGCAGAAACCAGAACTTGGCTTAATGTCACGCGTTGGCTTCTTCCCCTTCTCTTCCTGTGGCCCCAGACCTTTCCCTGTCTCCTCTTGGAATCCCTCAGTTAATACCTCACAAAAATGTAGTGCATTTCTCCACTTCTGGGAGACCTGTCCTTGAATTCCCTATCGAACTTTAAAGAGCATAGTAAAACAACACGTTACAAAACTGTCTGGGCTGTGCACAAAAATAGACTGCGGAGGAAAAAAAATAGAACACAGAACAAAGCCAGCCTCAAAAGTGGGTTTTCATGTGCACAAACCAAGAGAAAGCATGATCTCCATTGTGGCGAGCTTTGCTTCCAGTGGACCAGTTCCCAGATGAGGGAGAACATGGGGAAGCCAACGAAGGGAAAAACACAAAGCTCCGAGAAGGGTTGATCACCCCTAGTTCTGACTGATGGAAACCTCAGTGGTAAACTCATACGAACCTGTGTTTGGCACTGGGGGTCACATGAATACTCCTCCACACACACATTTGTTTTTCTTAAATAAATCGTTAGTTGTCTTCAGACAAAAGCTAACCGTGTGGTGCCGAAGTCAATATTGAAAGTCTTTTCACAGAAACTTAGCATCTACCTAGAACACAGCTCTGGAGGAATGTCTAGAAGATGTCAAGAGCAGACAGCTCTCCAATGATTCGAGACACGGCATTTCAGGTATTGATTGATTCGTAAGATTTTGCTTTGTGTTTTCAGGTGAACGCCACACGTTCCCCGCATGGCTCAGCCCAGAATGTCTTTCCAGCCGTTGGTTGCAGCAGGACACACACACTATGCGGGCCATCCCAAAGACACCCTCTCCAGCCACCTTGACGGGGTCAGGGCCTGAATTCCTTCCCTCCTCATTTGAGACCCACGGCTAGCAGGGGCAAGCACTGGTGCTCGGGAGAGTTGGCTCATGTCTGTCTGTCATCCTCCTGGGAGAGGTGGGCCGGCCACGCCAGCCTCTCCTCACAGAAGGCTTGGGCCACGGCATTACTGGAGGTCAGCCGGCTTGGTGAGGCCTGGTAGAGCCTCGCTGAAGTTTGTCCATTCGACCTGGACCACGATGAGAGTCTGTGGCCCCAGTCACCGTGCCAGCCCCAAGCCCGAGGCAAAGCCGCGCGGCTTGTCCGATCCTTGTTTGGTCTGCTCTCCTCTCCCCCATCTTCAGAGTCGGCTCTGCGTCGCCTGCTTGCCTTGCTTTCCCTGCTGCTCACGGTGACTGAGGAATCTCGGTGCTGAGCCGGGGAGTCCCGTCCTGTCCTGGCTCCGGGCGTGGCCTGGCCCCCTGCACACATGTCCTCTGCAGCGGGCACTCCGCTGTGCCCTCCCCACCCGGCAGGGGACTTTCTCTTTCACCAGCTCCTCTCCTGCTTTCTTGTTTTGTTTCTTCCCCACAGCACTGGCTAGCTTGCTAGCGTAAAGACAGCGCTGCTCCAAGCAGCGCCCGCCCCAACGTCTGGCTGGAATGAACGCAAGCAAGCCGGAGCGGTGGCCTGGGGACAGCATGAGGAGGACACGCAAGTTGTCACCCACGATGACAGACACCACATTGCGGCCCTGACTGCAGTGTTTGCACACGAGCGTGGCTGACATTGACCCAGTCCACGGGTGAGCGTGGTCGCTGTCCAGCCCGGCATGCCGGGCTCCCATACACAGCCAGCCCTTTCCCTTCATGATGATTTGTTTCTAATCCTGTGGACAGCAGGTTCCTAGTGCACTCTGGGGGGGGGGGGGGAGGGGGAGTGAGAAAACTTTTCTTTGGGAAGACTGTGGACATCTCTGCCACCACGAGAACGCGAATGGCTGGAGGAACACAGACGCACATCGGCTGAGAGGTTTGTGCCTCTAACCCTTCCTCTCAAGGAGGACTGTGTCTGGAGAAAAGTGAGGGCGGACAGAAGAGCAACGATTCTTGCTTAGTAATGACCTTTTGAGCCACATGACTTCTCTCCAAGGCTGGAAAGAGAGGCGGGAAACGGTGTGCGGAGTGCCTTGTTCCTTTCTTCTCTGGCTGGTCCCCCTCCCCTTTTCCTGGGCCATTCTTCGCTCTTTCTGCTATTACCTTTAAGGACATGAGATTCCTACACTGGCGTCCCCTAGCCGGTCAGCAATGACAGGTACTTGTCTTGTTTTACATTAAAGGTGGAGGAAATTCCCACCACTCCTGCATGGCAGGGCTCCAGCATCCCCGACCCACACCACGAACTCATGCACGGCCTTGACTTTGTCAGGGTCATCTCATTCCCCATTGTGAGAAGTTCAAGAAACTTCCAAGCTGAGAAACTTCCAGACTTCCAACCGAGAACCTGATTGTAGTTTTCAGCTTCCAGGGGGAATTTGTGTAAGCTGTTGCTATGAACATTTTCACATGCGCAGGGAAGGGAAAGGAGGCCTCCTCGGCATCACCAGATGGAATCATCCTCAGGCTTTGCCACGAATGTTTCATGGACATAGCTTTTTAAAATACCTCAAAGCAAACCACGGATCTCTGACCACTCCACCCCCCTGGTGTCTCCAGCTCAGCTTCAAAGGAGAAGGTTCACCTCTGGCCACCGTAACACCATTGACTCAGATTCCCTGGTGTCTTCTAATCCCCCCGGGTGTCCGCCTTGCTCCAGCTGTACCACAAGTGCCATCCATAGCTAGTTCTTTTCCTACCAGGACTTTCCAAGGACCTCACACAGCCCTGTGGTTTCCATGCTTAAGACTTCACGAACAGAGCAAAGCTCCACATCCCTTTCTTTTTATGATACTGACTTTTCCAGGTAATCAATATGATTTCTAAAACAAAAAAAAATGTATTTCATGACCAATCCATGAATGTACCAGAAATGTTTGTGCACAGACAAACAGATTCAAAACTCACTGACTAGGGGCTAGACATAGGTTGCCTACCACCCCAGATGAATGGAGATCTAGAAGATCAAGGTCCACCTGAGCAAAAAGTTCAGGAGATCTTCATTTTAACCAATAGCCAGATGCGCTGATCCGTGCCTATTACCCAGCTGTGCGGAGACCGAGCTCAGAAGGATTGGGTTGTCCAGTCAGCCCAGACTATAGACATTCTCAGGACCTCATCTCCATGGAAAAGGTTGGGAGTGGTGGTGTGTGCCTGTCACCCCACACGCATACTTCCTGACTGACTGAGGAGAAAAAGGAAATAGCCTATCCCAAAATTAACTAGAGGGAAAAAAAAGGGCTATGGGTATAGCTCAAACAGTAAAGGACCTGCATGGCAATATAAAGCTCTGAATTCAGACCCCAGCATCACCAAAAGGAGAAAAAGAAATGAATGAGCCGAATGTACCCCAACTTTATGTAGGCTGACGCATGCGGGACAATCACAAGGCTGAGGCCAAGCCAGGGCTTCACAAGTGAAACCCTGTCTCAACAACAACAAAATTCATCTTTTTGGCCAGAAAAAAATAAAATCTGACTGCAGAAGAGGCTAGCCGTCCTCAGGACCCGATAGCTAACTTTAATAAGTACAACGATATCAAAAAGTTGCCTGGTACCAACAGCACCTTAAAACAAAGGAACAGACTCTGTGACAGTACTCAGAGATGCTCAAGGTTTGATAGGCTGGCATTCCCATCGCCCATCTCCACACATTATTAACGCAACAGTGTATGCACCTGGGTGCATTTACACAGATATGGATTACATAGCCCGGGATTGATTTAAAGAGCAGAACAGAAATTCTTGAAAAGTCCTAAAGTACGAGATTTGGAAAGGGCTCTGCTCCTGCTTCCAAATGACACGATTATGCAGTAATTACGCCACGGGACCGAAATGTGCACGCTCTCCTTGCTTCATTGTCTCCCGTGCTTAAAACAAAATGTCACGATTCCAGCCCCCATCACAATGGGTAAGAATACTAAGTGGAAAGACTGCAGAATCGTCGCATTTTAGAGTGTTAACCCTATTTTGCCTCAGAAAAAAGCAAGGCAGAGAGCTACAGATTGCTGGAGTGGCCCGGCTAGCAGGGACAGGACAGGAGAAGGTGATCTGAGCGCTCAACTTCACTTTGAGGTGCCTTGTCCGAAGGCAAACCAGCAATGAGTAGAGAAAGCTGTGTCCACGCCCATCCGTGCAGCTCCCTCCTCGCGGCTGTCCGTGCCCATACGTTCTCTCGACAGACCAGGTTTGGGGTGAGGAGGCAGTGAGATCTTCTCTCAGTACTCCAGAATCACTAGAATCAGGGGCTGGTCTTGCTCTTTCCATTACTTACAGCCTTTGTAACTGCCTTTTGTCTATTAAACCGCTTCTGGAAAATGCCCATATCACATTCAGAGGAGACAGGATTGTTCCCATTTCACAGATGGAGAGTAAAGGCACGTCCAATGCATTATGTCAGACGGTGAGCCCGGCTCTCTCCCCGACCCCACAGGGACATGCACGGGAAAGGAGCCCAGCCCACAGTCGAGACCTGTCAGCAGGACCTTGCTTCCTCTGCCCCGGTGCACAAACATTCGCTTAGCACTAGCCCCAGGTTGGTTCCTTAAACTAACGTATTTTTTCCCTTTTCCTATATTCATCATAAAATAGACTTTCAAGCCAGGTGTGGTGGTTCACGCCTGTAATACTAGCTACTTGGGAGGCTAAGAGGAGAAGAATCACAGCTCCAGGCCAGCCCTGGCAAAAAGTTCCCAGGACTCCATCTCAGCCCATAGAAAGTGAGGCATGGTGGCACGTGTCGGTCACCCCAGCCACGCGCGAGACATCAACAGGGGGTCTCGTCCAAGCGGGCCTGAGCGAAAGGTGAGACCCTATTCAAACAACAGCAGCCAAAAGACCTGGTGGCGTGGATGAAGTCCTAGAACACCTACCTAGGGAGTGAGTGTGAGCCCCTGCGTTCAATTCCAGTCATGTCAAAAAAGAAAGAAGAAACCCACTTTCACGGCCATCTTTGATTTGTGCTTCTAGCTGATGAGTCTCTTCTTCGGCTGCTCTCACTGGCTGCCCACCGCGTGGTGGTCTGTTGTTTCCCTGAAACCATGAGGCCTGGCTGCCTTAGCAGCATCCATCTGGAACTTTCCACCAGGAGAGAAACTGACTCAGAGGTAGGAGGGCTATGTCAGTGATGCCCAGAAAGCCCAGTGCCTGGGCCAGGCTGCTTGTCCCCACAAACATGAGCCAAAACCTTGATGTGCACATCTAAAACCACGTCCCCTGGTGGCCGGGATGACCCACACAGGGAAGCTCAGTTTCTCAGCTGGAAGTGTGTTCTCAAAGTGTCTGCAGAGAGTAATACCAAGGAAAAACGACAGGAAGGCATTTTTTTTCTTAACATTTATTTAACAAACGGCAGCATGTTACCTGCAGAAGGGAGGCATGACTAGAAGGAGGAGCCGGAAGTGCCAGCTCTGTTTCGGAGGCTGGGTACTAACCCAGAAAGTTCCTGGCGATTCCCAGGGCGCCCAGGACCGAGAGCAAGGCCAAACTCCCCATGCTCAGCTGGAACCCAGTGACCCTGCAGGGTGGACACAAAGGAGAGCCGTCACTGGCTGGACCGGGAGGAGGAGGCTGCACCCTGGCCCAGGAGGCCCAATGCTTTTGGTCTTGTTTATTTACTTCCTTGTTATTATAGAGGTGATGTGTAAAGGGGTCACATTTACATGAGCCAGGCAACGAGTCCATTTCCTTTGCACAGCGTCTTCTGTTCCCTCCCTCTGCCAGTCCCTCCTCCCGTCTCCACCCCCGAGAGTTGTCTAGTTCCCGATCATCAGTGTCCAGGGAGCTGCACTGCTATACTTTTTCACCCTTTTCCTTCGAGTTCTGTGCCCTCCACTCTCCCAAAGATATACACACGACTACACCACGTATACGGTAAAGAAGACAGAATCATCAAAATCTAAAAACTAACCAAGAAACAAGCGTCTTTTATTTCCATAGCTGAGGAGTTCATTTCGGTATGTGTATTATTTTATATAAATATGAAATGGCACTTAGGCATTGCCCCTTTGTGATTCTCTCCTGAGAGTATCCTCCTCCGGTCTCACTGCACGAGAGTATCTAGTACTCTGTCATGTCCCAGTGCACTCAGATGCTCAGAACTTCCATGCTTTTGTCCTTTAACGTTTTTGGCTTATCATATAAATAAAAGCGATGCCAAGCCCTGGGGGTCAAGGGTATCTCTAAGCACTCAAGATTTCAAGGCTAGGTAGAATTATTTTCCTGAGAAAATTATCGTTTGGAAAGATGGAAGAGTACACCCGCATCGCGGGGTTGTGAACCTGCCTCCTTCCCGTGCCCAGCTGTGTGGCCCGTCAGGACTGGGCCTCAGGTAGAATTCATCAGTTTTGCTACTATGCCTCTGTGCTCCTAACACCTGCTGGGAACAGGAAACTAATCCTAACTCCACTCTGTTACATCTTGCAAATGCCCACCTTTAATGAGCCCTTCTTACCTTTTCTCAGCAGCGGCTGCGTAGCCCCAGAAGTACTTGTGACGAGCATAAATGTAGGCGAGACCCAGACAGGCCGCATAAACTGTGGAAGGATAAAAGGAAAGAATGGCACAGGATATCATAGCGGTCCAAGGCACAGAGACTGAGAACGCACTTGTGAAATCTATATCTGACAAAATGCTTGATTCCAAAGTATCTAGAGAACTTTTACAGTAAAATAACAGGGGGGAGCATCAAATTAAATTGTAAGACACTTGAGTAGACAATTCCCAAGGGCAGATCAACAAATGGGCTCAATCATCATGTGAAAAAAAACCTATTCCAACATGATTCAGTATCAGCCAAGCATCACGTGGAACTGCAGGGAAACAGCACCTCGAGGCCCCAGCAGAGCAGCTAAAAATTTTAAAGCCCAACAATACAAAACAGCGAGGTAGGGCCTGGGAAGGTGGCTCAGTGGTAGAGCACTTGCCTTGCATGCATAAGGCCCTGGGTTCGATTCCTCAGCACCACATAAGCAAAAAGAAAAAAGCCAGAAGTGGCACTGTGACTCAAGTGGTAGAGCGCTAGCCTTGAGCTGAAGAGCTGAGGGACAGCGCCCAGGCCCAGAGTTCAGGCCCCACGACCAGACCAAAAAAAGAAAACAGCGAGGTAGGGGGCCGCTGGAAAACTCCAGTGCACAGATAGGAATGCACAAATAGCACAACACCTCAAGAAAAGTTCTAATGGTTTCTTATAAAAGTAAATATATCATTTGACCCGGCATTTATCCAAGGGAAATGCAAGCATATGCCCATGAAAAAAAAAAAAAGACCTGGTCCTGAATTGGATAAACTTTTTTTCAGAACTGCTCAGAATTATTTACACATCATAACCAAAAATTGGCAACAGCCAAGAAATTGGTCAAGAAGGGAATTGGTGAGCGATGCTTTGGTAGTGTCCTTCTTTGGAACACTATGCCGCAATAAGAAGAAATGTATTCGCAGAGCGTGGCAGACCTCAGGACCACACTGCTGAGGGCAGGCGCGGACGCAGACCATGTGCACACAAGTCCCATGAATAAATCCAAATGCAGAAAAACTCAAAGCAGGGACGAGAGAGAGGGCAGGTAGACACTTCCTAAGAAGTAGCTACACGCTGTATGTTGAAAAGAATTTTGAGTCACACGAGCGTCCATATTTGTCAAAACTGAACATTTCATATCTGTGCATTTTACTATGTGCAGGTTTTATCTGATAAGGAGGGAATGTACACAACAATAGAATGTTCTGGCATCCTGACCAAGGAAAATAGCTAGTCTTCCCTCTGTAAATGCTCCTCTTTCTCTCAACACCTTACAGATACAAACCACTGGAGCCCTCTTGTGACCATCTCGAGTCTTACCTGGGCGGCTGAGATATTCACAATAAAATTAAAAGTTCGTTCCATTGCCTGGTCACCATGATTCTTTTTAAGTCCACTTTCTATCCTGTCGTTCTAAGGAAATTGGGCTATCAGCCCCCAGCCTTTAGAGTTCTCTATGAGCAAAGGCAGACAACAAAACTTTTTAAAATGAGAATAATGTTCCAGAATCACAAGAAGGAACTGAATTGGGAAAGATGCGGGGGAGGGGGCACTGGACAAGGTCACCTCCAGAAAGGCCCAGGGCCCCTCAGGTCACAGTGTTTGCCTAGGACAGGGGGCAGATGAATGAGAACAAGAGGACCCGGCCAAGGAGAGCTGCCCGTGTCTGAGGGAGTGGAAGGGCCCAGGCCCGGGGAGTTTTGAGTGACTCTGCCTCTCCACCGGAATGCTCCTGTGCTGCCAATGTGGACAGCCAGGGGACCAGGGGAGACTAGCCAGCAGCCGACTTTGGAAGAGAAAGAATGAGAAATTACCACAAGAGCTCCTTTCCTGCCAGGCGGGCGGCCGCGGCCACCATTCCGGTGAAATCCAAGGGTCAAATGGAATCCCATTATCAAAAGGCACTCGGCTTATTAGTTTTAATATGGTTTCATATGAAAAGAAACAGCCCCTTTCATTTGTGCTATTAAGGGACAAAAGTATGAGTTGGAGAAAGTTTAAACGTCTTTCTCTAAAGGTCATTTCATCTGAAATTCCTTGGTTGACAGTAAAAAATTATAAGAAATTGATGGGATTTGCCTTCAAAGCAGCCAGATTTGGGATTGTTTAAATCTTAAGACTAAATTGCGTGAGGTCATAAAATGTGGTTATGAAACTACTAGACACCGAAAAGAGATTCTATTTCTCCAGCGAGGGAAAGCCATGTAGGCCGGACTCTGTTGGATGGCTGGGCAGAGTCTGAATGAGACTTATAGTTCAGTCAGACTAGGCCAAAAGCCAAGGGCTGTCTCCAGGATGGCTGCACACTAAACAGCACTCATAGGCCAGGGGACCCCAAGCTGCAGATCCTGAGCTGAGCCTGAAAGGAAACTTTTTCCTACGTTGGTAAATGTCAAGTCGGGCAAACTACTTTCCCTCCCTAAGCCTCAGTTTCCTCTTCTGTACAATAGAAAAATACTATTCATTCTACTTCATATTGTGAAGGCTTTAAATATTATATGCATCTTACATATAAGGCTTCAAACTTAAAAATAAGCCGGGTACCGGTGGCTCACACCTGTAATCCTAGCTATTCAGGAGGCTGAGACCTGAGGATCATGGTTTGAAGCTAGCCTGGGCAGGAAAGTCTATGAGACTCATCTTCAGTTAAGCACCCAAAAACAATCCAGAGGGGAGCTATGGCTCAAGTGGTAGATTGCTAGCCTTGAGCAGAAAAGCTTAGGTCAGCACCCAGACCCTGAGTCAAGCCTCAGGACCTGTACATAAACACCCCCACCCAAGGCCCCCACCTCAAAAAACCCTTAAAAGCAATCCTGGACACACATCAGAAGTGCTCAGTGAACATAAGCTAAACCTACGAAGGCACGTTCTGTTCCTCCAGTTAGATTATTTGAAGTGAAAAACAAAACTCTCCTCTTTTTCATCCTTGGGCATCTGGCATATAAACTGCTCCAAGTGCTTTGTTTTTGTGGCTCAAACCCAGAGCTTTCCACGTGCAAAACATGTGCCCATGCACACGCGGCCTTTGTTGTCTGTGTCTGAGACAGGGTCTTACTACAGAGCTAAGCAGCACTGGCTCTTTATCTAGCCCCAGCTGGCCTCAAACGCGTGGCCATCCACCTTGGCTTTCTGAATGCTGTGTCCGCAGATGGGTACCACACTCCCTGACTTGAAGTTTTTGTTTTGTCATCATCAAATTAAATCTAATGAAGCTGGAATTAGTGTGTCTCAACACAGACGTACAATGCATTGCAATTTCCTGGAACAGTAGCCGTGCAGCGGCCTCTCTGTCCTCACTGGCTTTGTTAAGTGGCTGCCTGACTGGCAGGTCATGCTTACCTTGGTTGAAATACCATCCAGCCACCCACAGTGTTATGATGAATGCAGGATAAAGCTCCCCACAGTTCTGTCTGAAGAAGAAAATTAAGACACAGGTAAACATAGGAGAAACTGCCCTGCTACACTGATTTTTCATCAGTCCTTCCCAACAAGTTATACAAGGATGTAAACAATCCTTGAGTCTTTCACCAGGAGTAATGGCTTGCACCTGTAACCCTAGCTACTCAGGAGGCTGAGATCTGAGGATCTAGGTTTAAAACCAGCCCAGGCAGACAAATACACAAGATTCTATGTCCAATTAACCAGTAAAAAAACAAAAATGGAGATGTAGCTCAAGTGGTAGAATGTTAGCTATAAGCAAGAGGTAGAAGCTCAAAGTTCAAGCCCTAGTACCAGCAAAATGGGGAGAGGGGGAGAGAAAGGGGAGATAAAAGGAGGGAGGGAGGAGGGAAAGAGGGAAAGAAGGAAAGAAGAAGAAAAGAAAGGATCCTAACTTGAAAGGTAGATCTCAAATGTGGCTTAAGTCTCAGAGAAGGAGCACAAATCATTCACCTTCATCTCAGTTACCACTACAATTCTTTCCTAAAAGACAGGTGGCCTGAACCTAAAAATCATTCTGTATCTTATCAAAAGATTACTCAACCCAAATTAGACAAATTTCTTCTCAAACATTCCGTCACACCCAGGAAGACATTTAATTCCCATTTGATAGAGAAAAAAACCCTGAGTCTCCACGCTGCCTGGTGCTACAGAGAGCCGAAGAAGACGGTGCCCATCTGCCAGGCCGCCTCTATCCATAGAGAACTTGAGGGGAAAACTTGATACTATTTTAAGCAAAAGGGAAAGGCTCTCTGGAAACTATAATTCATTCATCTGCACCAAGTAACAAGGGAGAAAAATAAAAGATGAATTGTATTCATCTTCCTTCCTGAGCTATGTCCCCAAGTGATCTTGCTTAAGCTGGTGGAGCTCTTTGCTGACAATGTTATAACCGGAAAGATCTTTAACAATGTAATAAGTAATGAGGGCCTGTGCAGAAGCTAGTGGATGAGTCAAGTCTAAGGATTATAGATCTTACATCTTGCCTTGAACAAGCTGGGTGAAGGTCAGCCCAAGGTCACTGTGTAATAAAGCATTGGCTCAGAAATATTCCATCCCAATTGATGAAGACCAGGGACTTTTGATCTGGGTCGCCATGCGTGGGGTTTTTAGTCCCCCCCCCCCGCCCCACCCATGGGAAAAAGAAAGCAGAAGTAGAAAGCATAATTCTTCCCTCCTCCATAATTTGGCAGGAAATTGTGGCTGGGTCATCTCAATTTTATTGGCCGATGTCTCAACTACATGGGACTAACAGCCCCCATAGTCCTTCCACCATCTCCTAACACTGCGTTAGAAAAGCCTTCATTAACCAGACCCAGGGCTCGCGGGCTGCAGTGGCTGGTGCAGAGTTCTCACGCACAGTGCAGCTTTCACATCACCAACAAACACAATGCCATTCATGACCGTATAAGATCCTGGAAACCCTAACAGGTAACGTGGATGAGGAACACCCTTCTTCACCTGGGCACCAGGGGTTCCAGGGGTTCCCAGCTCCACGCAGCCCCCGGGAGGGATGGGAGCCATCCAGCCCTGTCCGTCCACGCAGAGGGGACGTGTCTGTGTCTAATGGCTCCCTGGCCGCAGCCTCGCACTCCTTCCTCAGCACTCCTGAACTCTTTTGACATGGACGAGCCCTGGAGAATGGCATAGAGCTGCTGCTTCTTTAGCCACACGTTGCCACCTTGGCCACCATTTCTACCGAGAGCCACGTCATAAAAAAGACCTCTGTTAGAAGGACAAGCAGGGGGAGCAACTGTCCAGATCTGGCCTGGATGGTGGAAGATTCTAGAATGTGGGACTTTCAGGTCAGTGGTTCCGGTTTGTCTGGGACTAAGGATTTCTCTTTTCTGGACTTTAGGTGGAGAGCTTTGATGCTACAAACAGAGGAGCCTGGGGAAAATGAATGAGTCACCGTAAGGGTCAGACAGGTAAGGATCACGAGGCTGAGGGGTTAAAGACACTGAGACCCCCGATTGTCCATCGTAGGCGGAGCCTAGGTTCTGGGGGCCAAGAAATACGGCCCTTGAAGATTCCCATGAGGGGCCCCAGGGCTGGGAGCACCAAGCCTGTACCTCAGTAAGTACCTCCAGGACCTTAACTCAGCCTACCAAGTCCTATCATTTAGGGAGGGGAAAGAAGAATCAAGTAGTGGCCAGGCAGTTTCTAAACCTGAAATTTTTCTGAGTACTTCATTCTGACAAAATGATGGGTAGATTGTATGGGCTCAGCTTGGCCCGGGCCTCTGCCCTGCTCCCTGCCTCCTGGATGTGGGTAAAGCTCCTTCCGGCTACTAGAAAGCAGGGAAGGCAAACAAGTCTTCTAGGCCAAAGGGTTCAGTCGCTGCTATGCCAGCTTCCTCTTTCACAACTGAGACTGAAGACTCTGAGGAAACAGAACCAGAAGATGGAGGAAACTGGGCCTCCACGTCTGTGGACACCCACAGACAGACAGCAGACATGAGCAGACATGTGTTGATCCTGTGAGAACCTGAGACCTTCCCTTGGAGAAGAATATCACACATATAGAACACACAAAACAAAAATGAAATAGAAGCGAGGTGTTGGTGGCTCAGGCCTGTAAGTCTAACTACTCAGGAGTCTGAGAGCTGAGGATCGTGGTTCAAAACCAGCCTGGGCAAGAAACTCCATAAGACTCTCATCTTCAATTAACTACCAAAAAGCCAGGAGTGGCACTGTGGCTCAAGTGGTAGAGCGCCAGCCTGGAGCGCAAGAGCTCGGGAACTGTACACAGGCCCTGAGTTCAAGCCACTGGACCAACACCAAAAAGAAATAGAAACTCCAGTTGAAAGAAAAGGAAGGAAGGGAGGGAGGGAGGGAAGGAGGGAGAGAGGGAGGGAGGGAGGGAGGGAGGGAGGTGGGGAGAGAGGAGAAGAGAAGGGAGGAGAGGAGAGGAGAGGAGAGGAACAGCATTTCCTCACTCCCTAGTGTGCTACCTGGGCTTCCGTCTGGTGTGAGGGACACGTTCTGCAGTCACCATTTCTGAGATTCCACACAACCATGCAACCTTGCTTGCAACAACCTCATCCAGAAAATCTGAACGAACATTCTCCACAGGGAAATGCTGACTGACTCTAGAACATTCCTAATGCCATGTTCATTGCTATCTTTCAAAATAATGACAGGGTTTTCTAGGTGATTTCTAGGTTTTCTAAGTAAGTTCCTCTCAGCTTTCGTCCTCTCCCTTTTTCTCTCTTGTCTTGCTGACTTTATTCCGACGCAGCTCTACAGGCGTGCTATCCACAGATGAGCCAGGGACTCTGTGGACTGTGGACCCTGGGAAGTCTCAGGTCCTGACACCCTGAAGATCAGAACAACAGGTCGGTTCATGCACTCAGAAATGACTGTAGAAAGGGCTGCGAAGGTGGCTCAGTGGTAAAGTGCTTGCCTTGCATGCATGAAGCCATGGGTTCGATTCCTCAGCACCACATAAGCAAAAAAGAAAACAGCTGGGAGTGGTGCTGTGGCTCAAGTGGTAGAGCGCTAGCCTTAAGCTGAAGAGCTGAGGGACAGCGCCCAGGCCGAGAGTTCAGGTCCCATGACCAGACCCCCCCCCAAAAAAAAAAAAAAGAAATGACTGCGGAAGAGTCAGGGGTTATGGGAGTTAAGCTTTTTATAAATGATGGGCTATCTAAATTGCTCCTCCAGAACCCAGCCCAGCGAATGGCCTTCAACCCCCGCACTTGGGAAGCTGAAGCCGGAGGAAAACTGAGCGTTCAAAGCCATGCTAAGGTACTCAGCGAGAGCCCCGCCTCTAGAGATAAAATGCATAGTGTGTGGGTCACAGGAGCACGGTTGCTGCTGGCCCCGGGGGAGCCTGGCTCTGACCTGCACCCTGGAATCGTGCTGCGGCTAGAGGGGCTCCAGCGTGGGGTCCCTCCAAATCCAGCCACCTCTCATCCCCTGAGGATTGGAGGAGCACCCAGCTGGGTGACAGATGCCACTGGGTGTTTATGAAAGACGCTGAACTCATTCCGCCATCTTGGGAATCCCTGTACGCAGTGCCATGGAAAAGAAGACTTGGATTTTGCAGTGGATGGCCAAGACAGACAGACAGATACATAGATGTTTCTCCCCTCTCTCTCTCTCTCTCTCTCTCATTCTTCTCTAATAGGCCACAACTCCTATGTACCCAAAATTTCAGAACATTTAAAAAATCATTCTCTTTCTGGATTTCCCTTTTCTCTGTAGTCTTCAGATGTGTGGGAAAGCCACTGGTTTTAATTTCTAAACGTTCAGGATTCAGATGTGAGACGAATATGAGAAGTGAACGAAGCAGAGGACCTGCGTGGTGACGTAAGCCTGAGGTCTCAGCTAGCCAAGAAGAAGAGGCGCCAGGGGGCCCAGTCCACGGCCAGCAGGGGAAACGCAGGAGACTTCGTCTGTGAGGCAGAAATGGTAGCGCGCTTGCCCAGCAAGCACGAGGCCCTGCCCTAATGAAATGGAAAAAGAGACGAATTGCTGTACAGGAAGATGCGGCCAGGATTCCCGGAGGACCTGCACTCCTGGTGGAGGCTTTAGTTGTGCCTGAAGGCTGGTTTGGGACAGGAATGGAACATTCATACTGAGCAGTTGGGGGGGCGGGGGGGAATCAGAACTATGTGACAGGCGTGTTTGTGCCTTGCCGGGCAGGGCACTTCATGTTCACGTCTGGGCTCCGTGTTTATAAACAGTATGCATTTCTTTTAGCCTAATAGGCGTGGGAAATCTTTTCTTCTGACAGGAGCCATTTGGTATGTGATGTTTATGTCACTCCTGGGTTTACTGAATTTCCAGTCTCACCTGTGGTTGCCCTGGTGACAAGACCAAAGATTCTGAGGGCCTTCTGCGGCCCTCGGGCTACACCCGCAGCCCTGAAGGGGCACAGCCAAAACATCTAAAATTGGCTGAGGAACGAAAGCTGGAGAATTAGTGCTACCAAGCCTCAAAACGGAGACAGTGAAAGCTCTTCAGCGTGGCCCAGATGTATGACAAAGATGGCTCAGTAGCTAATCTTCTTGTTGAGTGAAGGTGAAATCAGAAGTAAAGTATTTAAATTACTTGGACCTCCTTCTGAGATTTTATAAAAAGCCTTTAATCTAAGAGAATCAAGATGATTGAGTATACGGGATAGAATATTCTTCTTTTTTTTTGGGGGGGGGGTCCGGTTGTGGGGCCTGAACTCTGGGCCTGGGCGCTGTCCCTCAGCTCTTCAGCTCAAGGCTAGCGCTCTACCACTTGAGCCACAGCGCCACTTCCGACTTTTTTCTTTTTGCTTATGTGGTGCTGAGGAATCGAACCCAGGGCCTCTGGCATGCAAGGCAAGCGCTCTACCACTGAGCCACCTTCCCAGCCCCCAGGATAGAATATTCTAAGTTTAGCAATCATCTACAGCAATGGTCCCTGGTAAATTATAGATTTTATTCTCAAAATTGTGAGAGGAAAAAAAAAAGGTTCTGGCCCAGGGATTCGGAAGTGATCTCTTAGCCTCTCCCTCCCCACAGGAGGGAGGAGGAAACAGAGAAGGAGGCCTGGAGTCGTAGTAGCCATCTGTGCTGAGCAGAAGAGAACCCGTGAACACAAAGCACACCCCGCCCTCTGGCCCAGGGCATCTCCTGGCGACTGCTGGGAGTTGTAAGTTCTGCAGGGGGGGGGGGGGGGGCAGAAGAACTCATCACTTAGGCTTTGAAGCTATGTTGAGGTCAAAAGCTGCCGGAGAAGAGCATGGAGGAAGGCAGCTCTCATCTCTGTGGAAATTAAGATCGGTAGACCTCAGGACAGCCCGAAGGGACTCAGTACATTGCTCCCAGAGATCCAGAAGGGAACTGCATTGGTTCTCCAGGGGTAGGGAGAGTTCAAGGGCACTAGCTATGAAAAAACAAATGAATTTCCCAACAGGCTTCTTAGAAAGACTAAGTTATTTCAGGAGTTCTGCCCCAACATAAAAGTCTACGTAGCCTCACTAGCAGTGAGAATACTTGTTTTTTTGTCCAGATTTGGACTAAACCTTGGAGCTGAAAGCAAAAATTAGGCCAGTGTCATAAAATATCCAAGAAGTGTAGGGAAGGGAGAATCTCCACTCAATCTCCACAGAGAAACCAGGGCTAGGACTGCTGTGCCCAGCGGGACACGTGACAGCCCCAAACCTGCAATACGGGGCTGAGAACATTATTTTTTAGCCATTGTCAGCTCCACTGTGATTAATCAACCAAAACACTTCTAATAAGGGAATTGGGCTTGTATATTTACTTTATAAATAGCAACCTAAGAGAAATATTTGGGACTAGTGTCCAGCTTTATTTCTAGGACAAGAGGAGTCCAGATATAGAAGAGAGGGGAGAAAGCAGTCGCTGGAGAGAAAATCAAATTTGTGCACACTGAGAACGAAAATAGCACCAAGAAATAACCCAGGGGTTTTGCCTGCGGGAAGCCGAGCACTCCCAAGCCAGGCCCTCAGATCATGAAAGTCAAAGCAGGGAGATCTGAAATCTCCTCCTGCAGTGATTTTTATAAATAGTTCAGTGTCTCCCAGCGTCAGGCATTAACCTATCGCTGTCGAAATCTTAGCCTCTCCGCATTCTCCTCACTACTCTCTAAATCAATTAGCTTTTAACTCAAATTCAGAAAAAGATAAATAGATAGACAGACAGACAGACAGATAGATAGATGATAGACAGACAGATAGATAAGTATCACCACCACAAATGAAAATCATTTCCCAAACAATGGATAAGTATAAATCCATGCTATGAGAACACCTCACCCCCACAGCTCCTTCCAGAAGAAGGTACAGACAGTTTTCTTGCCAGGCACCATGGCGTACACCGAGCATCCAGCTGCTGCAGGGGCAGATAGTGGGAGGGTCTTGGTTCCAAGCCACCCAAGGCAATAACACTGGGTGTGGTGGTACACTCCTGTCATCCCAGCTCCGCAGGAAGAAGAGACTGGAGGACTGGGGTCCAGACGGGCTTAGGCAAAAACCTCATTGTCAATTCAAGAAGACAACTCTGTGTGCTGTATCACATACCAAGTAATTCCACAGGCATGGTGTGATGAAAAGTTCTGCTCATAGCATGGCCCTAGTGATCCAGCCATTCCTGGAGCTTGCTGACCAGCGATCCAGCCATTCCTGGAGCTTGCTGACCAGTGATCCAGCCATTCACTTAGCTCTCTGACTGGAGCTGGCACTCCGGCCTCCCGGGGCTCCCTGGTCCCCAGTCACCTAGCTTCCTGCTGACCCACCAGGTGGATTCCCACTCACCATGCTGTGCTCTGACCTTTCCTCTACCCCGGGGTCAGAGGGTCAGATCCCATACTTTCCCCCAGTGCTCTCCTCCTGTGCTCTCGTCCTCAGCAGGGCCCGTCTCGGCCCTTGGGGCCCAGTCCACACCCTTCGGCTCCTGTCCCAGCAGCCCGCGTCAGCCCTCTCATGATATTCTCCTGTCTCTTTTCATAGCATGCATCTCCTTCTGATATAGTTTTGTCTGCTTAGTGTTTCCTTTCTGTCTTCCTCAGCTATGAGGTTAGCTCCAAGAGGGTCTTATATCTGATGTCTTCACTGAGACAGGACAAGCAATCGGATATAGAAATGCTTATTTAATGGACCTTTTAAAATGAAAGAAAAGGCTAAAGAAAGAACTTGGAAAAATCGTAAGGACTCAAAAACGACTGAAGTAGGAATGCCAATCATCCTCTGATTCAATATCATGTAAAACCGGGTGTGGACTCCCCTTAAATTTTCTTGTGGTCTAGTGCTATTCACTTTACCCTGCCACACATAAGGAAGAGGTTGAGAAACCCTCCTGGAAGCAAGTGAATGAGCAAGAGGCTACTATGACCAACTCGTGGGTTGTGACTTACCCGAGCTGAGTTCAATGCTGCAAAATGCCCCCATGGTCCAATCACCATCAAAGAAAGCAAATGTCAGAGCTGGGATTTTTTTCCCCCCAAGAAAACCAACCAAGCCCAACAGTTTCAAGCCAAGTTTTATACTAATTTGGAAGAACACTCTCCTTTCACCTAATTAAAAGTATCTGAAAAAATAGAGCAGGAGGCGTCCTCCCACTCATTTGAAATTAACAAATTTTTGATATAAAAAATGAGGCCCACAGAAAGGGAAAGCATGAGCTGAACTCACGGACATAAAAGGGAAATAAAAAACGTCAACAAAACACGCATAGTGCACACATGGTGACATGTGTAGCTTTGGGCTGCTTTGTTTTGTTTTTTGTATGTCAGGAAATGAGTAGGGAAGGAGCCCTCGCTTCTTCCGGCAGGGGAATTCCTGGAGTCTGTGGTGGAATGTTCTGACAGAAGCAAGAGGTGCAAGAACACAGAATAAGAACACAGCACATCCACATAACCCGCCAGACTTTCTGGTTTCTACACCAGGACACTTCTGACATTAGGAAATGATCACTGGAGAAATGGGCAGAGGGTATACAGAATCGTCCTTGTTTTGAAGGAAAGAGAGAGAAAGAAAGGTCAAAATGGTAGACCAGTTCATGTGACTTAAAGTATCCTGCACTCTCTTGGGCCTACAAGAGGCTTTGATCAGGCCACCATGTTGAGTGTTTTGCTGAGCTGCCATGTTGAGTGCCATTATGGGTAGATTCACACACAGGACCCTTCAGCCTTCCTTGGTGGTGAGATAGGCTTGGCTGAACAGTATACTTCCTTGTGACTGGTTTCTGTGAATGAACTGCAGGCCTTCTCCATCACTCTGCCCCCAATCTGAACATATCTGGCTGTGACAGGCACCTATAAGAGACGTTACTTACTGGGCACGAAATATTCTCTCGAACTCCAGTGAGCCAGTGACTGCTGGGGGTGCGATCTTACATTTCAGCCTCGTCTTCCCAACCTGCAATGCAAAATAGCCTGCAGGAAAAGGGGCTGTGTTAAAACCATTGGCTGCCAATGAACTGTAATGTTAAACCATCATGAAATTCTTCTTTGTACCCACTGGACTGTCTCAAGTTAGAAACGCAGGTCATATCGATCAAAAAAAGACAGGTGGAGATACTTGAGCCTCTGGAGCCCTCAAATACTGCTAGTGGAAATGCAAAGTGGTACTAACACTGCAAAACAACCTGGCCAGGAGTGGTGCCATATGCCTATAATCTAAGTCACACAGGAGGCAAAGGTCAGGAGGGAGGATGGCAGTCCTGGGGCAGAGTCCATGAGACCCTATTTCAACCAATAAGCCAGGCGTGGGGGTCTGTACTTGGAGTTCCAGCTATAAGTAGGATACACAGTAAGAAGATGGTGGTTTAAAGCTGGTCTTGGGAAGAAATGCAAGGTCCAATCCAAAAAAATAAGTAAAACAAAAATTAGGGTATCTCAAGTACAAATACCTGAGTACAAACCTCAGTACCACCAAAGTCACTAAAAGAAGGAAGGGAGGGAGGGAGGGAGGGAAGAAGGGAGGAAGGGAGGAAGGAAGGAAGGAAGGAAGGAAGGAAGGAAGGAAGGAAGGAAGGAAGGAAGGAAGGAAGGAAGGAAGGAAGGAAGGAAAGAAAGAAAACAAACAATCTGGAAGGTATATTTTAGTGAGTTGTATATCAACCAAATGACCAAACCTTACACTCATAGGTATTTACCCAAGAAAAATTATATGTTAGCTTTTCATTGCTGGGACAAATGCATGGGATAACTAACTTTGCAAGGAGGAAAGACTGGTTTTCATTCACTGTTTCAGAGTTTCAGACAGAGTTGTCTGGATCCATTGCTCTGAGGCTGATCTGGGCAGACAGGACAACATCAGAAGCGTGTGGTAGAGGTTGCTCACCGCATGGTAGCCAGGAAGCAGAGCGACAACAAGGCTTTGAAATTCCACGCTAAATCCTCAGCTTAGCCCAGCCTTCCGTTGGGCGTGGGGGATGATGTGATCCCGTCCGAAGCAAGGCACTACCCGCCCTCCCACAAGCCTCCGACCTCATGAGGTTGGGTAAGGTTCTCGAGGGAGGCTGTCCCCGGACCCCTGGTCCCTTTCTGCTACAAATCAGCTGTCCTGCAGGGTGTCAATGCCGAAGCTGACCACTGAACGTGTATGAGCACTGGGGATTGGAGTACTTCTCTTTCAAACTGGAAAACATGGAGGGAAGTCCCAGAGTGGGCTCTGTTCGTTCCCAGCCCCGAGCCGCGTCCACATCTCCACACTGGGACAGCGGCAGTCTGCAGGCTAAGGACTGGGGCTCAGAGCAGTCACGCTGGGCGCTGCGCCACATTGTTCCCAACTTGCTTTAAACCTTGGGAGAGCGTGTGACCACCTTCTAGTCCGCGCTACAGGACAAAAAGCAGCACAGAAGACGTGCGCTCCTTCCTGACGGAGCCATTAGCCATGGAGCCAGAGCCAAGGGCTTCAGGGTATCCCTGGACGGAACAGTCACCATCTGCCTCCAGGCAGTTAACTGCGCCCCCTGCCGCCTGGGTGGGTGGCAGCGCACCCCGCAAATGTGGGGGGCGGGGGGGGGCACTTCCCACTCAGGACCCTGTTCATCCTTCTCCACGGGAACGTGGAAGGATAATTGTACCCCAGCCAGCAGCACACACACAGCAGAGACCCCTGTCTGTCCTCTGTCTTCCCCCGAGCTGGTTCTCACAGGGTACAGAGCATCCCCGCTCCAGCAACACCGCACTGTCACAAAAGAGGCAGATTCTAGTTCTGAGTGGCGGGCGCGCGGGCGGGGCGGGGGGGCGCGGACGGGGCGGGGGGGGGGGGCGCGGGCGGGGCGGGGGCGCAGTGGGGCGGGCGCACGGGTGGGGCGGGCGCACGGGTGGGGCGGGCACGGGCGGGGCGGGGGCGCGGACGGGGCGGGAGGGGGGCACGGGTGGGGCGGGGGCGCAGTGGGGCGGGCGCACGGGTGGGGCGGGCGCACGGGTGGGGCGGGCACGGGCGGGGCGGGGGGCGCGGACGGGGCGGGGGGGCACGGGTGGGGCAGGGGGCGCGGACGGGGGGGGGGCAGGGGCGGGGCGGGGGCGCAGTGGGGCGGGCGCGCGGGCGGGGCGGGCGCGCGGGCGGGGCGGGGGCGCAGTGGGGCGGGCGCGCGGGCGGGGCGGGGGCGCAGTGGGGCGGGCGCACGGGTGGGGCGGGCGCACGGGTGGGGCGGGCACGGGCGGGGCGGGGGGCGTGGACGGGGCGGGGGGGGGGGCACGGGGGGGGGCGGGGGGCGCGGACGGGGGGGGGCAGGGGCGGGGCGGGGGCGCAGTGGGGCAGGCGCACGGGCGGGGCGGGTGGGGCGGGCGCACGGGCGGGGCGGGTGCATGGGCGGGGCGGGCACACGGCGCCCGCAGGACAGGTCCGATTGCTCTGGACCCAGGCTACATCATAGGTTGGTATTAAACACCTGGTCCGATTGCTCTGGACCCAGGCTACATCATAGGTTGGTATTAAACACCTGCTGTCTCTCCTCCCCCAGGACCACAGGAAGCAAACCACAAACTGTGTCCTGAAGTTTGGCAGAGTTGTCACTGTCACGGCATCGGCTGGCCACGTGGAGAGGAAGGCTTTGTCCCCAGTGGTGCCTGGCTTCCCGGTGCATGCGCACCTTGGTCCTGGCTCTTGGTGAGAAGTGGGTTGTGGGTTCACCAGGGCTCCCCGACCCCCTTCCTCGCAGACACAGGACACGCCTGGCACCTCCCCTACCCAGCGGCCCACGGGGAAGGTGCTCGCCATTTTTAGGAGTTGTTCATCTGAGGCTTATGTCCCGAGAGAGACTTCACTTTATCACCGTACCTGTCACAGGTGATTCATTCTTTTTAAAGCATACATGAATTATAAGATCTGGTACTAAGAGGTCTGCACTGGGTGTGGAAGCAGGAACACACTGACCCCGGAACCTTGGTGACCCCTGGGCAGGCGCGCTTCCCACGGCCACATGAGCCGTGACCACAGACCGTGCGGTACCTGCTGCTGAGGGTGCCCACTATCCCTGTAGGATCTGGAATGTTCATGGCTTCCTCTGGTCCGAGGGACAGAGGCCAGCAGGTGGTCCTAAGCAACCTGAGACGGGGGCACAGCGCGGGCCTGGCATCTAGAGCCAAGGGCAAGAGTGAGAAATGAACACTGGACCCATCTCCCCCCCCCTCCCTCTCTCCATCGCTCCCCCTCCCCTTCTCCCTCCGTCCCTCCTCTGTCACACACACACACACACACACACACACACACACAGCCCATGGCTCTTACTTTGCTGACAGGCAGAGAGGAAGGACACAGCAGCCAGCAGAACTGTACTTTCTGCCATCCCGGGAGTCTGGCTCTGGAACTGTGTGCACGAAGCCAGAGGTAGATCAGAAGCGGATCAGAGGTGCCTTGGCCCTGGCAAAGCTGAACTTCCTTATAAAGCTGGGGGAAGGGGGCGGCCTGGAGCGCTAAGGAACCTTTGCCCTGGACAGAGAGCAGGAAAGCAGCGATCCTGTGTGGCACCTGGGTTATCTCACCGTCTGACTGCCACACCCATGGATCTCCCTGCTGTGTCACCTTCCACACCCAGCTCCTGTGGGAAGGGAGCTGTCTTGAAGTCACTGAGATTCATCTGTGCTCATTTGAGCCTGTTCTGACTTCATTCACTCTGTGTGTGGCAGAGACAGGATTTGAACTCAGGCCTGGCAGACTTTGTGTGCCCCCTGGTTGTACCACATCGCCTCATCTCAACTCTTCCCCTGAGATTGTGAGCAGGCATTTGTTTGAAAAAATAAACGAGGGGGCTGGGAAGGTGGCTTAGGGGGTAGAGTGCTTGCCTAGCCTGCATGAAACCCTGGGTTCAATTCCTCAGTACCACATACACAGAAAAAGCCAGAAGTGGTGCTGTGGCTCAAGTGGTAGAGTGCTAGCCTTGAGCAAAAAGAAGCTCAAGTGCCCAGCCCCTGAGTTCAAGCTCCAGGACCAGCAAAAAGAAATACATCATCATCATCATCATCATCATCATCATCTAGGAGCACACGATCTGAGGAGGGCAATGCTTGAAGCAGGAAGCCCAGCGCCCATAGCCACACAGCCACACACAGGGCCAGGCCTGGCTGGTGTGAGAAAACACTGCACACGTGGCAGCAGAACCCACCCCCCCCCACGCACAAGGCGCGGCCCGCTCCACAGAGCCCATCCATCGCTCACAAGACGCAGCTCGTCAACCCACAGCGCTGGGGTGGGGGACTACCTTACCCCCAGCTCCACGTGAGGGCGTGCCTGCAACAGCTAGAACCACTGTAACAAAAACACTGCGGGGCTGGGAAGGTGCTCAGTGGTAGAGGGCTAGCCTCGAGCTGAAGAGCTGAGGGACAGCGCCCAGGCCCAGAGTTCAGACCCACAACCGACCAAAACAAAAAACAAAGCCCAAAGACACTGGGGTCAGGACAGAAGCCTCAGACAGGCCTTGTGGTTCGGGCTGGGAGGATCCAAGTGACCGGGCTGGCCAGGCGGCCGCCGGGAGAAGGCCTCTCTCCCTGTCTGGTCCTCGTGGGGTCCCTGGTCCCATCTTGGGGACCCCAGCCTCATAACCTCATTGAAGCCCATTTATTTCCCAGATGCCCCTGCTCATCCCCTCAGGCAGAGAGCAAAGTCTCGACATGGAAACGGGAGATCGCACTGGGTCCATGGGGAACTGGAGCACAAGGTGCTGGGAGCCGGAGCGCCTCCGTCGCCCGGGCCCCTCCTGGTTCTGTCTTTCCTGTTCTTGATGCAGTGAAGGCTAAAGTTCAGTAAGAAGGCAGATTGAAGACGTTCAGGCCAGTAGTGCTTCCTGCGTGCTCCATTATTGGTTCTGCCTAGTTTTTGTTGTTGTTGTTGTTGGTTGTTGGGTTGTTGGTTCTATTTTGTCAGTTGTGGGACTTGAACTCTGAGCCTGGGCACTGTCCCTCAGCTCTTCAGCTCAAGGCGAGCATTCTACCACTTGAGCCACAGTACCACTTCCAGTTTTCTGGTGATTAATTGAAGATGAGTCTCATGGACTTTCCTGCCCGGATTGGCCTTGAACCATGATCCTCAGATCTCAGCCTCCTGAGTAGCTGGGATTACAGGCGTGAGCCACTGGTGCCCGGCCATGGTTCTGCCCATTCCACACTAGTACGCTAGACTCAAACCCAGCACCCAGGATCCACATCACCACCTACCAAGTCCTTCCCCCACCCCCCCTGCCCCCGCCTCCAAGTGGACCTCCAAGGAGAGGTGTGCAGTTCTCTCTGTCCATCCTCACAGCCCCAGCCTGCACGCTTCAGCCCTGGGCGGGCGCAGAGACCCCTCCTCCCAGTGCGTGCACCCTGGTGTGTGCCCCACACCACCCCCATTGCAGCGGGGCCTCCAAACAGCCGCTGTATTTTCTGGGGCTGCACAGAGTTCCCAGAAGAATGGAACTGGTGTTTGAACGGCTTCAAAATAGCTTTGGACAGTGATAGAAGGTCTCAACCAGAGTCATCTTAAGTTTACACAGGATTCAAAGGGGATGAGGTGAAGCAGAATCCTGAGGCTGGTGAGGCCAAGGAGCAGTCCTCTTCCTCACTGCTCCTGGCACGTGCTCATGCGCACATGCGCGCACACACACACACACACACACACACACACACACACACCTCTGCACACACCAAAAATACAGCCCAGATACTTAACCCACAAAGCACAGGGCCCCCTGGGGACCGACGGCGAGAGGCATGGTTGCTGGTTTGACTCTTTTTTATGGAATCACTAGTGTTTCTAAACTGAACTGTATTAGGGTTGAATGCTTTAAAGCAGAGTGGTGGTCATGAACGCCTTGTCTCTGCAGACCATGTTCACAGCTGGTGCATGGCTTGCGGGGTCTGGATAGCAAGAGACAGGACAGCCAGCGCCAGGGAAGAGAGCCATCCTTGGCCACACATGGCCAGGGTTCCTGCCGCTCACCCCTCCCCTCCCCAGCTGCCCACAGAAGGTGGCTGCGGTCCCTGGCACTTCTCAGGGAGCCCACCAGCCTCCAGCCACCGTCTGAGATGATGGGACACTGACTGCCGGGCCTCCTCCAGGATCCGTGATTGCACGCATGGCATCACAACCGGAGCTCACACAGCACGCACATCCGCTCACGGGTGATCTCGCTGCACAGAGATCCTCGGAGGGTCTCCAAGGCCAGAGAAGAGCTGGGGTGAGGTTGGGGCAATGGACGAGCCACTCAGAGCCCAAACGAGTATCTGTGCTGTCCAGGAAAGGGGAAAGGACTGTGGAAATGTCCACAGCAACAGGTGAAGCTGGGAGGGGCTTGGGGAGACCGCGTGGGAGACATGCTGGAAATGCCAGGCGCCTGGGTAGAGGAAAGCTGAGGAGAGCAAGAGGAGACACCGAGGCCCAGGACAGATCAACGTGAAGGTTCCATATTGGCGGAAGGAAAAGCAGGAGCGATGGGAAGCCAGTGTCTTAGCCCATCGCCCGCCGGTCCTCTCTAGCAGCTGCTCCTCCTGCTCTAGCCGGAAGCGCTGGCTCCTTGCTTCATGCCAGGCATGAACTGGCAACAGGGAGCAAGCATGCCTCCCAGACTCCATTGCCTCTGTCTGCCTTCTTGCTCTCAACCATTTACTTTACAGTTGCCTTGAACCCGCTCCAGGAAGGCCCAGAAGGAAGGACAGAAAGAAACCAGCAGGAGGGACAGGAAGAAACCGCAGAACTACTCTCAGGACAGACCACCCAACCGTGAACAAATACCTTGTTTATTCTGACTCAGCTTGTTGGCCTCACTGATGACAATGAGAGCAGTTTCTCCAAAACCCTTCCACAATGGCGGGCCAGGCGCTCTGCCCAGGGCTCTCACAGTCTCTGCCCCCAGCTCTCTGTCTATTTAACCTAAAGCTCCTGTCCGTACCACACCTGAAGTGCTTTCTTCCTGTGGCTGCTGTTGCCAATGACCTTCTCAGCCCTTCATCTCTTAGCCTATGGGGCAAGCGCTACACCTGTCAGGGATCTCCTGGAAGTTAGGTCTGGGGCCTAAAACTCTGGTTTCCCCGCTCACTGGCTCTGAAGTTCATCTACGTGTGTAACTCTCACATCGGAACAACCGAGGGAATCGTGCCTCAGAGAAAAGGGGGGCACTGTGGCCGCTCCTGCCTCTCTCGGCCTTGTAAGGAAAGGAGAAAGCCGTCCCCTTTTGAGAAGACAAGGAGTATGGCCGATGAGGAACAAACAGCCAACTCAGCAGCTCATTGCTCCAGGCTCACGCCGGTTGCTGCGTGACTCAGGAAAACCCCGGCCTGACTCCGTCCTGAGCCAACTCCAATGCAGCAGAAAACAAACAGGCCATACACAAGGCAGGGAGCCAGGAGCTGTGGGGAGGGGCAGCCCACAGCGGCCAGCGCAGGGCCGCGAAGATCGGAGGATTGTGTCGCCTTGCTTCTTCTCTTTGTCCCTCTCTTCTGCCTCCGCTTAGACTTGGGCTTGGTTTTCTGCTTTGTTTCTAAGACTTTGGCTGCCAAGCATCCTTGGAATTTCGGTGTCTGGCCGTCCCCAGCCAAACCCATCTAGGGCGGGAATTCTAAACAAACAGCTTCATCTGCCTTCCACAGCCTCTGCCTCCACCGGCTCATTTCTCATTCTCTAAGAGCTCGTGCTTGTTGGAGTCTTAATTTTTCCCCCTAATTCACAGTAGGAGGATTCTGGGTAGGCAGCCGAAAACTCAGAGGTGGGGCTGGGCCTTCCACTCCCGTCCTTTCTGTCAAGATGACTTGTATTTGGTCATACCACTAGGGGGCACCAACCCCAGGACTGCTGGCTCTAGGGATTCAGCGCTAAGCAGACAACTGCCTTGTAGTTTCAAGGCCGTGTACTGCCTGGGCAGCTGCCATCTCCCCACCCCACCCCACCCCCTTCCCACAGGCCCCTGAAGATGTGGGACAGAGAAGCCAGAATGAGCCAGTCAGCAAAACCTGCTGCCAAAATAATTTCTAAAGGATGTCTGATAAAAATCAGTTCTTCAGAAAGTATCGCATTGAGTATTTCCAGCAAGAGGTAAATACAATTCCTCAGAGACCACACATGCCAAAGCACAAGGGTAGGGGGTTGGGGGGACGTAGCTCAACAGGAAACAGCTGGCTTTGTATGCACAAGGCTCTGGGTTTCATTCCCAGAGCGTGAGTGTGCGCATGCACGCACACATACACACACACACACACACCTCCCTCAGGATTTAACCCTTAGTCCTGATCCACTCTGAAATAGACACAAAACCCCTCCCATCTAGATTCACCTTCCCTGGGGAAGGACATCGCCAGTAAAAGCCTTTGGCCAACGGCCTCCTAGAAAGAGTG